TATGCAGCCTGAGGCGAGAGCACATTATGCTAATTCTAATGTCAGCTGTACTTTAATATACGACTCTATTTAATCACCCCATTATTTCCTATTTCCATATGAAAAAACAGAGCGAGCGAGGGAGAGCGAGGGAGAGCGAGGGAGAGCGAGGGAGCTGCTCATCACTTTATTTGGTAGAACGCAGAGGGCCGTGCTTTATGGAGGGATGAGAAAACACACTCCCCTCCTCAGCATCTGCACGGATACACTGTGCTGTGTGTTTGTGTCGAACGTGCACACACACACGCGGCTTGAGTTACGACCCACTGTACGTCTGTTTACAGTAAGTGTGGGCCGCGTGCTTCAGTAAAGGTTATAGTAGTTCATTTTGAGCACCCAGTTTTGTCCTTTATAGAAAAGATTATTTTCCATGACAGATAAACTTTAACTTGCTGAATTATGTTGTAAAAAAATGTAAAAAAAAAAAACGTTTGCTTACTTTGCTGTTATTTAACTCGACTTTGCTGCTTTTACATCTCACTGTTCAGTGTCCATCTGTCAAGACAACACTACCTTAATGTGCTCCTGCTGTTCACATGGCCTCTTCAGCTGCCAGACAAAAGCAAAAACTGTGTGAAGATCCTCTGACTGCTCTCACCGCAGAGATGCGGGGCAACAGCGGCACTGACACATCACAGGAGGAAACGGTATCTTTGTGGCTTAAATAGACTTCCAGATCGAGAGGGTGTGTTTGGTCTGTGACGTGCCGAGAACGAGGGCTGTTAGTGCTTCCTGTCTGAACTGGCTTTATTTTAGTGAAAACTCCCATTTGAAATGATTCATGATGAAATAATTACAGCTGCAGTTTGGTATCCAGCCTGTCTCTGCAGATATGCTACAAATAAAATTGGGGAGTGATCCCAAATATCCCCCCTGGAAATTCTGCAGCTCATCGTTCATCAGATTGGACGAGTGATGGCGCAGTTTGAGTCGCCTGCTGAGCTAACGTGCAGCTTTGCTTTGTTTGTTTAATCACACGATGTAGGCCGATGTGCCGTTTTCGTTCAAAAATGACCAAATGAGGTCAAAAGCAGGAAAGTGTACGATTCCATCAGAGCCACTGTTGGCCTTACTGTGCAGCAGTGGCAGCTGCATCTAATATGTGATGTTTGTTGAAATAAATAAACAATAAACCTTAATGTGAGTTTTAAAATCGATTACAGTTGGTTCTAAATGACAGACAACAACAGCTCATACACGTGCTCCAATCAGATCATGTTTCGATCACAGGAAACAGAAATAATTATTTTTAAATGTGTGAACCTCAGAGGTGCTGACAAAACTGAGCAACTTAAACTCTCCATTCAAACCCATCAGTCCATAAACTC